TTTCTAATCCCCTTATAAGGCACAAAATCCTTCAGATCTCATGAAAATGACTGTCAGTCCTTCTTACTCTTCAGAACAGGAGGACAGTTTTCACAGTTTAGATGAGACAGAGCCAGAGGCAGGAGTGTAGTGAGTTATAAGACGCTCTGCTTCTCTCCAGCCACTCAGCAACGCTCCATGAACTGTAGAGAAGAAAGACCCGTGTGTTGCTTCTCCTGCAAATAACACCTGCAAAGGCTGCAAAAACAAAGTGTCAAGAAGTGCAAGAGTAAAGGGAAAATAGCACACTGCTCATAAAGAAGAATGAAAACTAGTTGCTTGAACAAACATTGACAAAATGAGAGTAGTTGCACCTTAGAATTTGAGCCTTTCAGTGGCAAGGGTTCAGCAAGGTTATCTATGTCATATCCTGAGCAACCTTTGGCCACATAGGTGTAAGATCCACAGGAATAGGGATCATGGAACCATCGAGATCTTAAAAGCTTCCTTGGTGTAATAGTTGGATTTCCTGAAAATTATTATGAAAAATTTCATAGGTTATTAATTTATTCATGTTAGCTGATCTGTATATTTCCAGGTATTAAATTAGATTTTTAATCCTACTTTTCCAGTGTGGTCTCAGACTTTTGGACCCCATCAAAGGATGTCCTATTAAGCTGTAAATCTCTTGTACAAAGTAAAAATGTTACCAGTAAATATGCGCAGGAGCTGTGTGACACTGTGCAGCACTTCAAGCTCAGACAGAGTTTCCATGTACTCAGACTCCCACCCTGCTATCCATCCACAGAGCACATGTCCATATCTGCACAACATCAGAAATGTCAGATTTATAATGTCGCAAATTGCACTATTTGAAGATCAAAGAAAATCTAAATCAAAGGTTATGTTTACCTCTCTGTGGGCTTCAGCACATTGAACCCAATTAACTTTCTAATCCAGGACATCTTTACATCAGAAACAACATCAGCAAGATGTGTCTCGTCCTCCCATACGAGGTAGATCACTTCACAGTCTTCATCCCAGAAAGGCTGCTCGAACTCAAGAAAGATCTTGTTGTTGGTCCCAAAGCCCATTCTCTGGATGGAGTGCAATTTGTGCAGTGGAAGAGGAGGGCTCAGAAAAGTGCTCTGGTGCTTCTTCAGATATCCTGTAATGAAACAGTACATCAGATGAGTTAAAGGCCTTGTAGATACTGTAACAATAAAGTTATGAAGCAACATTATGAAAATATACATTTTTTTATATAAAAAATTTAAATTATATTTAAAAAAAAAATCTTATAAGCTATAAAATGAAAATGAGGAGAAAAAACTAAATCAATGACTTTGTAAATCAGACAAAAATAGTGTGGTGCAGGTATGACATCAAAACCTGGAATACTAATTCGCCATTGGTTCCTCAAGATTTTCCTATGGGGTTTTATAATTTTTTTTATTTATTTATGAGTAAAATAAAGCCTGTGGTACACATGGCAACTTGACGATGCTTTGACATTTGTTTTACAATGTAAACTGCACACACCCATACTGAAAAAGCACATTTTGAAGCAGTTGTTTATTTTTGAAAATGTAGGTTCATAATAAGTGACTAAATAAGACAGTTTGGGGTGTGACTGTGTGTTATAGAACAAAACATCATAGTATCGTCAAGTTATGTTTACCACAAGCTTTATTTTACTCATAAATTGAAAAACCCCATTATAAAACCCCATAGGAAAATCTTGAAGGAACCAGCGATGACTAGTCTTCTGGATTCTGATGTCACACAACTTTAAAGCGCATGCTATTTGCAATTACCAAACCAATATTATAAACTGCAAATAAGCTTTAGATGCAAATTGCTCACTAAGCCAACAAGTCATGCTGAATCTATATGTACCCAGTGGGACAGTGATAATAACATGATCTGCTGCAAATGTCTCTCCATTAACACATTCAATCATAACAGGGAATGATGTTCCTGTAGTTTTTGGTCCATTCTTGGTGTAGTTCCAGTGAATGCACTTCACTGGTTTGTTGTACAAGATTACGTCCTTGGGAAGTTCCATCATCATGTGATCAATTAAACCTTCGTAACCTCTAGGAGGAAAAAGAGTGCATGAACATGTTTAGTTTGCAAACTTTACAAGATTTAGCATTTTGGAATTGGATAATTGAGGCACTTCAAAATGTACAAGAAGAGGCTCTGATCACTCACCCTGGGAAAGTGCAGTCCAATCCTGGAAGAGTCTTATACATGCCAAAGGCTCCCAGGCCTACATCATCCATCGTGTGAGTTCCACTGACACAGCACTCCAGCTTGAGCAGTGTGTTTATCATGGCCATTTTTATTGCAATGTTAGCCTGGTCCTCCTTCCACTCCTCAGGGGCCAGTCGTTCAACCTCTGCCTTGATGAACTCCCCAACACTCGGCAGAGGTTCTCCACCACCGTCATGGAACTGCTGACTTTTTTCCAGTAATTTCATGAAAAACTCCATCACTGGCCCCATCGTCTCAGGCCCCAGTTTTTGACCTGCACTGATAAACCAGTTAGGAACAAACAGCGGATGACCACCAATGTCAATAGTCTGGTTTTCTTCAGACATTGACTCTTTGTCAAGGAGCTGGTAGTCACATGCCAAACGAAATACTGGATTTTCCTTTGATGGGCCATGGATCCAGTTGGCGCCGATCTCTACAATGTTATCACCTTGAATGAATGGAAAAAAATAAATGTGATATACATCTATGGAGAAGACCAGGGCTAGCCTTTCACTCTACTGAATATTTCCCAGAGTACATTCTAGTCTTGGCAACAAAAGAAAATTGAAAATATTTGAAATATTCAACACTGAAAACACATTCGACTTCTTGTGGCAATATGCCTAAATTTAAAAAGTAAAACAAGCATAATACAAAACAACACAAGAAAACAGCAAAAACATTGAAGGTAAAAAAAAGTATATCAAACCATTAATTGTGCCCATAAACACTGTAGTTAAAAAATTGCTTAAAGGAACACGCCACTATTTTTGATAATAGGCTAATTTTTACCGTTTTCGAATCCATTCAGCCGATCTCCAGGTCTGGCGGTAGCACGTTTAGCTGCAGCATAGCATAAATCATTGAATCTGATTAGACCATTAGCATCTCGCTCAAAATGACCAAATGTAACTACAGAAGAGTCAAGTTTTAAATAGGAAAAATATCGAAACTCTTGCTACCGGTCAAATCAGATTCAATGATCTAAGCTAAGCTGCAGCTAAAAGTGCTAACCGCCAGACCCGGAGATCGGCTGAATGGATTCGAAAACGGTAAAACTCAACTGTTTAACTCTAGGGGAGTTGGAAAATTATTTTTCAAAAATAGTGGCGTGTTCCTTTAAGTTTGTAACTTGCCCTAACCTGACATTTACAAAGAATACCTTTGTCCTCAGAATGACTCAACCTATTAGTTAAAATGTACTTTCATCATATAGTTGACCCTTGCCTGTCCGTATTCCAGTGTGGTTTTATTGGGTTCACATGTTAACCCAACAGCTATAGAAAAAAATGGACTTTAACTCAAAACCTTAGTAACACTTCTCAACCTTTTTGAATCAATATAAGGTAATATATATATATATATATATATATATATATATATATACATTAACTAACTACAGTTAATTTTTTCATTCCAAAAATGTAAATAATTATTAAGTGTGCTAAGGCCCCAAGTGCCCCATTTACAGAAGTGCAGTTAAGCTCCGCCCACGAATACAGTCGCGTTAGCTGCAAAACACATTGCAGAGTGCTACTGAATGCTAAATATCAGTATAATTATACACATCGTTAGATTCTAAGTAAAAATAACATGCTAACCCATTTTCATGTAGGCCTGTCATAGGAAATGACGGGAGACGGCAGCGAGTCATCATATAAGATGACGAAAGTAAACACATTTAAATAACTTATAAACCCTACATTTCTCCATCGGTGACTCAAATGATATGCCTGTACGTACCCAGTCTGCCCGTTCGTATTCTCCCACCGCTTCTCGCAGTCGCTTCTATGATGTGTACATTATGAAAACCGTGTTTTAGTAATTTCTGAGCTGCACCAATTCCCGAGATGCCGCATCCGATTATAAATATTTGAGAATCACTAGCGGAACGTAGTGCCATTGAATCTGTTCGTACACGATCACTCTCTTGGGAGACAGAACTAAACGTTTAGTTCATCTGAGGACTTCTGCTCAACGCTCCTCCCTCCCTGAACGTCACCGAGACGCTTGACTCGATACTTACATTAATATTTTTATTTTATTATTTATTTTCGTCAGATCTTCTCTCCAAACGTAATGCTGGTCATGTGTCATATATAAATAGCTATTTATTTTTCGTATTTATTCATTTTACTGATTTTCACTGATGATGTAGTGTTAGCCAACTTTTGGGAAATGATACAAATTTAAAGTTTATTATTATTATTATTATTATTACATTATTAACCATTTTTGGCTGAATTTTTCATTTCAGCACCTTAAATGTAAATTATGACATGTATAAAAACGACAGGTCTTGAATTTATACTTAATTATCCGCGTTAATACGCCATTTTGTACACCCTAACGTCCAAAATGTATTTTACAGACTTTCTGTTAGGTACGTTCACTTAGAAAGCATAAAACAGAAACTGTTTCTGGCCAGAAGGGGGCAGCATATTATTATTTGCCGATGCTAAACTTTTATTTTGTTGGTAACGTTAACATTAGCAACCCAACCAGTTACAAGGCTGTTTTTTTTTACATTCTATGGTCTAAACACTGAAAAGGCTAAGTTCCTGGGTTTCCTCAGATAATAGGCTAGTGCTAAAAATACATAAGTTAAAAGCTTGTATTACTGAAGCCAGAAATAGTCCTGAATTGTTCCCAAAAATAGAATATAAAAATAAATTTCAGTTACAAATCTCGTTATTAAATACAAAAACATTTAAAATCATTATTTACAAATCACAACTAACATATCATACAATAGAATGATGTTTTGTAGAATAGAAGACTGACAAGCGTACACAAGCGCAAAGTTTAAAGGAAGTGGGAACCACCTGGAGTAATGTAATGTTCCTTGTTCCCAGGATGCCTCCCACTGTGTAACATGGGCTCTCCAGCCAGAAGGCACTGACTTCATGTCTTTAGTCTCAATAACATGAGCTTTTATCGCTTGTGGGAACTGACTCATGGGTCACTCAAAGAACAATAAGAAATACTCATTGTGAACCTGAGGGAAACAGCACAACATTTTTTCTCAAGCGATAAAACAGTGATTAAGAGATAATGTAATAAAGCACTATAGAGATTGTATTGTAAGAATAGGTTCATGAGCATCAATTTTAAATATAATGATAATAGCAAACTGACTTTTAATGCTGTCCAAAGTCTGCTGGAATTTATTAAAGGTGTCATGAATTAGATATTCTATATGCGAGTACAAAACTCGTGACACTGTACAGTATGTTAGAAAAACAAACATGAGACCAAATGAACACAATTCCTCATATATTAGTTTTATGTTAAAATGTATAAAAGGTAATATACTGTAGAAACATGTTAGGAGTGTATATGTTCTAAGTTTAAGAAACAAACAAAAATAGTTTGTCTTTTAAGTCATGGAGCATAAGTTCATCATAAAATAACATTCTAGGTCATTTGTAATGCCTGAGAATTGCTTACAGTTGCTAATTACTAGTTGTTAATTACAGTAGCCTATACTTTTTATATACTAGTTATTGCACTGATGCCTTCACCAAAATGAAAAACCTAAAACTATAGCAATCTGTGTCTCACTGCTGTTGACTGTACAACAGAGAAGATGCCTCTGATCTAAACTGCCAGCATATTTTCTCACTCATAATATGTAGTGTTAGAGATGCCATCCAATTTTTGCAACATCATTGACCTCAGTGCACTGTATCTGTGAAAACAAGAGTACAATAGATTAAAATGAATACACTGTGTTGTTTTTGTGAAACAGAATTTTGTGAAACTTACTTTCTTGTTAGTTTTAAAATCTCTCTCTCTTCCTCCTCTTTCAATTTCTTGATGAAACTGTCCAAAACAGGCATTTCAAACTTAATATACTGTGCAACCTGTAAGACAATGCATTAATCGTTGAAATATAAGCACAGAATATTTTGATTAACAAAAATAGCAAAGAGAACTTGCACATGTGCGTCAACATTTTCATTTTACAATGAATGTTTAGGGCCCTATCATACACCCGGCGCAATGCAGCGCAAGGCGCGGCGCAAGTGTTTTTGCTAGTTTCAGCCCGACGCAGTTCTCATCTTCCCGTCCTGAGCCGCGTTGTTTAAATAGCAAATGCATTTGCGCCCATTTGTGCGCCCATGGGCGTGCTGGTCTAAAAAAGAGGGGTGTTCAGGCGCATTGTTGGCGCGTTGCTATTTTGAGGAACTGAAAATAGACTGCGCCATAGACCAACTCAAACCTGGTCTAAAGTCTGGCGCAATATTTTGTCTTTGTTATTTAAAGAGTGCGTTAGTAATATGCGCCTATAGGCGGGTACACAACGCACGTACACTTTGCTTATTACACGCACAGGGACGCGCAGCAGCACACAAACGTTTTTAAAATGAAAAATTACATTCCGCCATGTAAATAGCGAACCCGCCATGGCGCGAGCGCAACTGGCTTTTACAGGGAATGGGAGATGAGACTCTGATTGGTTTATTGCACGTTACGCCCAAAAAACACCCATTACTCATAAAGAGAATAGGGACAACCCGTTCAGACCATGCGCCCGGGCGCGCCGACCGTTTTCCCGTCGTTAAACTAGCAAAAGTGGAGTTGGACACGCCCTGAGTGCACCTGCGCCGTGCGCTTTAGACCTTGCGCTTAGATCGTTAAAATAGGGGCCTTAGTCTGCAATATAAATATTTGTACTATTGTTAGTCCCTAGGATAGGATCCTAAAATTAGACTTGATATGTAGCATTTGGGAGTAACTATTGTTTACTGCATCTATATTTGAACAACAGAATGTAAGTTTGCCAGGGAAAGCACGTTCTGAATGACCTATTGTGAACTGTACAAATGTACAAAATACTTACATCATATGTAATCTCTTCACCAAGGTCCTTTTCCATAATAAATATTCTGGCGATTTTTTCACATGGACCATGCAACAGACGAGATACCAAAGGATATTCTGTGTCCTTAAGTTTTGTTTTCTCTAAAGACAAAAGATGGGGGGAAAAATCTTATAATCTGCAGGTCAGTTTTTTGTTAAAAATACAGTAAATTAGGAATGCAAAGCCGTACCCCCTGATTCGTGGACTAGGTAGAGGCCAAACTCATCTGCCTTATTCTCAACCTGTACCGAAGTACAGAACAGGGAATTAACAAGGAGTAAAAGATTGTGGCATTTAGCTGAATAAGGGAAAACTTACTCGAAACTTAGTAAGAAGCAGCTTAAGAACTTGCTGTGTTGTCAAAGTGCTGTTCACTCGCACATTAGTCACTGATCCATATGATGGAGTAAAAACTGATGTCTGTAAAAAAAAATTTGCAAAAAGGAGATCAATTTCAGCAATAATTAATTGTGTAATCTTTCATAAATTATGTGGTACACAATTAGTGTAAAATTTGGCATATGAGATTTGAAAAAATATAGGCTGCACTAAAATGAATATAATGTTCTTACTGTACAATATAGAATAATGAAATATGACAGGTAATATAATCTGTGGTCATCAATCTTATTTTTGTCAACAGATGATTATTTCATTCAGATATGTTTAGCAGACACTTTTTTGTTCACAATAAAGCAACGATAAATTATAGTGTACAATTGCTGTAAAAACCATAATAAAAAAGAAAACAAAAGCAGCAATGGCAGAAACAAAACACAGTGTTGCTATAGGAGTTCATTTTATAGGTTTATTCCCTTTAAGCAACATTTCTTATTTCATTCAGTAACTTGATGTACTAAGTATAAGTAAAGTATAAGTAACTTGATGTATAATTAAAACTATAACTGAAATAAAATGAATAAAAAACTATATTAAAACAAACATACTGTAACTAATAAAAATGAACTAAAAAAACATAACTAAAAAAATTACTAAAACTGTAATTAAAATGAAAGTAGAATATACATCAAATAAAATCAAAAACAAAAAATATAATAGTATCTGTCTGTCTGTCTGTCTGTCTGTCTGTCTGTCTGTCTGTCTGTCTGTCTATCTATCTATCTATCTATCTATCTATCTCTCTCTGCAGAGGCACCAGGCCAAATCATATGACCTTAAAGGACCATTTAAGAGAGAAGCAGATGACAATTGATAATAAAAGCACATGGTACAGCCAAAGGGAAGGCCTGCACAGGAAAACACTGCCTCTCAGCACCTGCATCCATCACAAAACACTGATGTACAACATAAACACTTAGACGACGGACACTTCCTATCACAGATGCTGCTGTGGCACTTTATGAGAGCACAGGCCCCTTGCCAGGCACAAGGCATGCTGTCTTTCAATGAGCACTATTGTACTATTGTCCTGAACTTGGGGCATGGAGTAGTTCCAACTCATCCCTGCCTTCCATCTGAGACACTGCCCTGCTGATCTCTAGGTGAAAGCTTTATAGATAGTCATAGATAGTCACTGTTTAAGTGCACTAAGGTTAACTGTGCTTTTTATTATATTAAAGTAAAAACGTCAAAGTAAAACAAAAAATGACTTTGTGGTTGTAAAAATGGCCATTGATGGAGAAGCGGTGTCTTTTTATCCTCTGTGAATCATCAGTGTTGTGGATTTTGGGTCTTCTTTGGATATTCACAAAGCTTGCGTCACTTCTTGTTCTCAGCAGTTGAGGGACGTCCTCCTCAGCACCATGCACACCTGCAGCGGAACCAGAGACAAGAACAGGCTAATATTAAGATGAGGCATTCATTGATGTGTTGTAAACATGTGGTGAACATCTAGATATGCATTTAGCTCAGTTAATAACTATAATCTATAACAACCAACAATGGTGTCAATTTTACAACACAAATCAATAACCTTTTTGATAAGATCTTCCTAAATGTGTGTGGAGAGATATGGATCATTTTCATACTCACTGGGTGCAGGTGAGGCACTGATTTTGTTGTTGTTGGGCTCTGAACAAAACTGGTGTTCAGCACTTTCATTCCTGTAAACAATAAAAACACAATTAAAATACATAATGGAAAACTAAGCTTTATAAAAAATAATTTTCATGGATGAGTTACAAAAATAGCTAATATAAAATTTTTTTTAAACAAAAGTTTAGTAAAAGGAAACGTTTAACTTTTAAAAAACTTAGTTTGTCCATCTCAAGATATAATTTTAAATTTTATGAGTTTTATTGTCTATTTATTTAAATGACATTTGGAAAATTTTTGTTACTAATATTTGGGATATAGGGACATTATTTATGGTTTTAGTTTTACTTTTAGCTAATTACAATAACCCTGGAAAATGCCAATAATTAACTAATTAATTCAATTAATGTAAATATTTTTTACTATTAAAAAGAGTAACTGGAATCTTTCATTGGAAAAAGAAACACCTGATTACTCTGATTTATCTGTTGTTGCTACACAATATTGCAATTTACTTGTATAAACTGGTAGCACAATGACAGTCATCTTATCCTCACGTGCTGAATCTTTTTGCTCACAGTATCAAATCAAGGTTGCTGCAGCTTTGAACATTAAAGCTGATTAAAATGTCCATGACAGAGAAGAGTGCTGCACGTGAGAATAAGAAGTAGCTCAGTACTCTGAATATCCAGTTCCTCTGTTGAGCAATGCCACATAACCGCAGCTTTCACTTAGTTTCACCTATATGTCAAAATGTTCCTCAAAACAAACCTTTCTAAGAATGGCCACAGGTCATAAACACCAACAGAATTACTTTTTGAATTATTTGTTGGCTTTTAGGAAAAGTACACAGCATCTATACAGTATGATCAAATCTGAGCTGACCAAGAAAATAAAGGAGCAGCCATTTAACCTACAAAAAAGCCCTACGCCCATATCAAATCCTGGCTCATGTCTTGAGATGTCTATGACTGAGGTAGATCGAAAAACAGACGGCCTTATGACCTAATGAAGGAAAGGACACATCTGGGTGCGGTGTAGCAGCAGCATTCAGGCAGTTCCACCCACCTGCTGGACTCTGAGCTCTCCGACCTCCACGCACCCGTGCAGGCGTATCGAAAGCTTTCGTTGTCATCGTACATTTGGAGTCTGATTGGCCTCCTCAGGCCCCAGGAGATGTTGAGTAAACCCTCCACGAACAGCTCACCCTCCTCCTGCAAGAAATAATAATAATAATCATTAACTCTTTTGTCAGATGGAGGAAATCCTGCTGGCTCGTGTCTCAGCTCTGTTTCAAGTGTACGTGCTGAAGAGGCAGTTGCAAACCTCAGCTATTCAATTGGAGGCGGTGAAGTTATGGAAAGTCACTTTGGGAGGAGTACAACAATATAGCAGAAGTACCAGATGTATTATTCGATGTATATTATTCAATGTATTATTAGATGGATAGACGGACGGACGGACGGACAGACAGACAGACAGACAGTCAGATAGACAGATAGATAGATAGATAGATAGATAGATAGATAGATAGATAGACTTTCAAGCAGAAACGTGCCACAACGTGCCACTTAATCACAGTCTTAATCCTATCAAGGCCTAAGTCAACAAAGTAGATTAGTCTCTTCCGTTCACATGCAAAGCACAATAATGTCTTACTACTGCATTTGACAGAGCTAAAAATACCACAGAGATTAAACATTCAGCAACATTCAGGACAGCTGCTTAAAATAACTAATTGTAGCAGATCAACCTGTCACAACCTTCTATTTTTGTGCAATTAAAGGATTTAACCTAATTTGATTAGCACCTTTCGTAGCTCTACTGTATAACTTTGGTTTTAGCTGAAAGGTGAATCTGAGGTGAGAAAACACAATTCACATGTGAACATTATATATCTTATATTATTACCACAGCTGCATTTCAACTTAAAGCCCCACAGTGACACGTTAATTCAACAAACCACAAAACCACTGTGTTTTAAACAAACTCCTTTATGGTGATATTTACATAATTATATAGATGGAAGAACTTGTGTCAACATCTCATTTCAGTCCTAGGCTATTTATATTCTGATTTCACAGAACTTTATTAAATTCTCAATTGTTCAGTCCTCAACAGGAGATTCTTGTGATTCTTTAACTAAATAATCATTCAACACAGTCACAAAGCAAGACAGAGGTCAGAGCTGCAGCCCACCAGACTTTCCACCAATGGATCTGTGAGGACTTGTTCTTCAACAAAAGCCTGTGACCAAAATAAAATATTGTAATGGTGTCGGGGGCTGTTGTAATTGTGAGTGAGTGCAGTCAAGTGTCATGTAGGTGGAGGGCTGAGGGCTCCTAGGGCCTCATTGTTCCTGCAAAGTAAACATTTGGGGCAGTTGTGGCGGGGTCCCATTGGTCAGCTTCCTCTCTACTCTCCGTTCAGCACACACACTCTTCCTGTCAGGCATGCAAGGTCAAAGCTTAGCTAAATTTAGTGCCATTAGCCTTGGCTTATGGTCCGTTACTGCCGTGGCCTTATAAAAGGCGGTGTGCTGCCTCTAAACCAGATCAAACCAAACACAGTCTCAGACACAACCTCTGCACAACAATCAGCACTGTGATCCTACAAGCTTGTCCTACAGGTAAGTTTGAGATATTTGAGTTACTGAATGATCTAGGTTTATTACAACTAAACATTTCTTGACTTTCAAATGTCATTATACACTCTTTAAAAAATAAAGGGTTCTTTGCAGTGGAAAAGTTTTTTTTTAGAATATTAACATGTTCTTCACAATAAGAAAAAAAGGTCCTTTTAAGAACTAGACACTAAAAGGTTATTTTGGGAACCCCTTTTGGATGCTTTATATTTGAGAGTGTGGAATCTTTCCATTGCACAAAAGGTTCTTGGCAATGATTCTTTAGATTTTTTAAATGTTCTTCACACTAAGAAAAATGTTTCTAAGAACTGATCACTGAAAGGTCCTTTTGGGGAACAAAAAATTTGTTCTTATATGGCCTTGGTGCAAAAAAAAACTAACTTTTGGAACCTTTATTTGCATATGCAGAATGCATGAATACCTAATTGCGTCTCATCTCTCTCCAGGATGAAACCCAGAAGATTACTCTTGTCTGTGGCTCCACTACCGACAATAAAAGAGACGCACGAGGACCTCTCTCAGTCCCTGGAAGAATACATGAACTCCATCAAAGAACTTGCCCAGCCTGCTTGTGGCCCTTTGAGGATATCCAGGACTCAGAGGCGTAAGCCCGTGGGGAAGCATGCAGGCTCTACCTCAACGTCACGCAGTGCTTCCCGGGCTCTGCAGCCCCGCCGTGCTTCCCTGGGTCTGGACGAGGTCATGCTGAGGTTCAACAGTCAGGTGGACCGCGGCACTAAAGACCCACTGGACTGGTTGTTTGCGCAGACTCACTTACAGTCACACGGAGAGGATTTGCGCAGGACTGACAGTGCACCTGCTGCTTTGTGGTTACTTTAATGAGCCAACGCTTAAAGACATGCTGATGGGAGGATAATACCGAACGAGTGATGGATGAACTCAGTGGAGGATCTCATGAACTGAACTTCTTAATTTATTGTCTGAACAGACTTTTTGCACAAAGATGCTAATGTTTACAAGCTGTTAAAGTCATGATTTTCTATGTTGCTTTTTTGTAATAAAATGTAAGAATGTATTTTATGTGTTCTTGACTAAAATGTCTGTCTATCTATCTATCTATCTATCTATCTATCTATCTATCTATCTATCTATCTATCTCTGTGTAAGTGAATGTGTTTGTTTAAACCTGATAAAGAAATGCTAATGATACAATTATAGTCAGTCATGTATAAATATTAATGTATATTTATAAGTGCTTATACACATTAATGATATGTATAAATACACATCACATGATCTAGATATGTATTAAGCATAGATAAGATATAGGGGAGAAAAGGAGATACAAAATTGCAACATATTACAATCAGCTTCTAAATATGTTATGGCAGTACTAGCTATCTATCACTGACATAAAGATTTCTGTATACTTTCATTTTCACAGATCAGGAAAAGCTTCCCACAGTATTATACCTCGAGCAATTTATGCAAATAAAACAAAGCCAGGGGCTAAAATACAACAGCAATTTTCTTTGTGGTTAAAACCACATACGCTGTTATATCAGGTCCCCAAGGCAAGAGATGACACTACAGTATTTGTGAGAGATAAGCTTAAAGGGAGTGTTCATCAAAAATAAAATCCGTCATCGTTTACTCATTGACATTCTTCAAAATATTTTCTTTTGTGTTCAACAGAAGAAAGAAATTTGTAAAGGTGTAAACATGTGCGTGAGTAATTTATGACAATATCTTTTTTTGGGTGAACTATCCATTTAAGTCCATTTCAGAATCTAAGGGTGTCCTCTGTTGGCTGCATGCAACTTTTTAATTTTACACCACTGTCTAAACACAACAAGCAAAGGGCGCTCAGTGAACGCTCTGATTCTGACCTGCCGCCTGAAGACGGAGGAAACATGTTGGTAAAAAAAAGTGATTTCTTTAGGCTACTGTTGCAGATTAGCTACAACCTGTCCACATACAAAGAGTATCAGTTAGAGCGAAGATGAAATACGGCTTTTTTTATTCCGAATGTAGCCAATTCAAGGCACTGTATTTCCTCATCATAGCCTATTATTTCCTCAGATAGGCTATATTATATATAACTAAAGTGTATAAAATTATTTTGTTCAGAAATGTCATGTTTGTGATTTTTTAAATTTGTTAATTCGTTATTTAAATTAATAGACCTACATATTTAGAAACGTGCAGGAAGTCGCCGGCGTCAGTAGCCTAACTAAATTTATGAAAATAATCTTTGTGAGGAGGACTGGCAACAGCTGGTCTTAAATACTTTAGACACCACACACTACACGACTTTAAACACCAACTGAAAACACCTATCTGAGCCCAAATTACATTCATAATTGGCCTGACGTTAGTGTGTTCCCGGCTTTACAGAATGAGCCAAGTCAGTGCTTTGAGCTAAAAATCTTACTGTTACTTGCGGGCAGATAGATGGGTTCTCTCCCTTGTCAGAGCAAGTTTTTAAAGGGGTCATATAATGCGATTTAAATTTTTCCTTTCTCTTTTGAGTGTTACAAGCTCTTGGTGCATAAAGAAGATCTGTAAAGTTGCAAAGACTAAAGTCTCAAATACAAAGAGATATTCTTTATAAAAGTTAAGAGTCAACCACACTTTCCTAAAACGGCTCGTTCTAACACGCCCCCACATGTCTACATCACGATGTGGGAAGACACAAAGAAAGAAGGCATACCTTTTATTCTCGCTGTTGCCGCTGCTGCCATGTTGTGGCGTCGCTGTGTGTTTCGTTGTGAAAGCGAAACTACTTTGTTTAGCCTTCCAAAAGAGGACACGACTAGAAATCAGTGGTTAAGTTGTATTTACAACACTGTTCCAGAACAGTTTAACCCAAATATTCAGATGTGTGCTGCGCATTTTATGGAGGATGGATGAGGACTGTTTCCTGAACCAGTAGCCTAATGTGTGGCACAAAGGCTGTTTCTATAAAGTTGGGCAGTTCCAACTTTGCAAGGACAGTCTGGCGCTTCTGACTCACAGCCTGTAAGTAAGTTTTTCATATTTAAATAATTTGCCAATGATGATTCATACGCGAGTTTTGAGCAGTGTAGAGTAGCACTTGTTGTTTCTCTGATCACAAATGCAGACATGGTTTTATGTTTACGCAGCGCGATACGCAATGCAACGCGTAAAAAGACAGTATAATTATAATCAGTAATTATGTCCCCACTGGATGCAACAAATGCCTCGTTTGCGAACGAATCGTTCTATTTAACCGGATCGTCTTAGTGAACCGGTCGAACCAGTTCACCAAATCGAACTGAATCGTTTGAAACGGGTCGCTTCTCCAGTATGTTCTCCAGTATCCACAAATTACTTAAGTTATTCAGTTTATAAACGTGCCTGACACTCCCTCTGATGCGAAATAAACCAATGTCCCGAGTTATTCAGTTACTCCTAACAGTACATTGACTGAACTGCTAAAAGAGAACTGATGATGGGATGTGCACGAGCAGAGCAGCTGGACTGAGGCTGTGTTCGAAATGGCATACTTGCTTACTGCTTACTGCCCAGTACACAGTGCATACTGCCTACAATTTTTTTAAAGAATAGTGTGTGAAACAGTATACA